CTTCATTTCCACCACAATCATCACAACCACTGCACCAACCAGCATGTTTGGGTGTTCCAAGCATGCTCTCCTTTTCTCATTTTCTGCAGGAAGACCTTGCTGACATCATTCTGAAGACAAAGGAACTGAAGTAGTGTCTACCCACTTCAAGAAGCAGATACAGGACGGAGGGCCAAATGCTCTACTTCAGGCCCAGTCTTGGCTGCTCCTGGCCTAGCTTAACTATGGGCATGAAAATGTTCTAGAAACTTCTCAGGCTCTTACTTCTGAAGGTGGCTCTATTGCTCTTGAAGGCTTTATAGTTATAGAGAATTTCAGACATTTTCTTTCATCACAGTTATTCCCTGAAGTGACAGACTATTAAGATGATTAGCAGAAATGTTTTCAAGTAGGAAATACTGCTCTCTGAAATAAGTAACCTAAAATGTACTGCTCATCAATTAACAAAAATAAAACAAAAAAACTGATTAATTTAGAAGATAATTTAGACAGATTTTCTGGTAAGTCAGCAGAGGTGAAGACAAATAATTTAACCAGCTGTGATTCTGCTGGCTGCATGTAGCTTGAGAGTCTACTGTGAGAAAAGTGGGGCTGGAGATAGGGAGGGGGTAGGGGGGACGGGGTGGCAGGAGGGGGTTCACTCAGGGGTAGGAACAGAGAGAGAGTAAGGGGGGCTTATAGGAGAGTCTTCATGTGGGCTGGGGACAGGGAGGTGGTAAGGGTGTGTAGGAAGGGGCAACCAAAACAAAGTGTGTGTGAAAATGCAAAACAATTAAAAATAAGTCTACATGGGAATAATGTGCCATTTCACAGCTTCAAAAATTAATAAAACTATAAGCAATGAAGATTTGGAAACTTTATTTGCCAAAGAGCAAGTCAACAATCACAATAAATACCTCCTTCCACAGAAAAGTATGTGAGACCATAGCCAAAGGCCATCTCACTGCCATGGTCAGTGACTTAGTTTCTTTTCCTATTGCTGTGATAAAGAAACATGACAAAAGAAACTCAGGGAAGAAAGGGTTTATTGTGGCTCACATTCCATGGCAAAGAAGTCAAGACACCAGGGGCCTGAAGCATCTGGTCACATAATTCACAATAAGGAAAAAGAGAAATCGAAATGCATGCTGCTGTTTCCTTCAATTTAGACAGTGCAGGATCCCAGCCAGCGAAGGGGGTGACTCACAGTGGGCAGGTCTTTCTACCTCAAGTAATGTAATTAAAGGCATGCTTGGGGGGATCTTCGAGGAGGCTCTAGCTGTGTCATGCAGACAACACTAACCACTCTAGTCACATAGCAGGAATGATAATGAACTTCACCCTTAGAACACTATATGGCACAGAGGAGTGTCATCCTAATTTTGATGAATGGAATGACATTTCAGAGAAAAAAAATAGGCAGCAGTGCTTGGCTAACCTTATAATAAGCCTGAATTTATCCAAAGAACAACAGAATGATCAAGGAATGATCCAGAAAGGCTCTGGAAAACATGTTGAGAGCGAGCTGAGACACTTCCTCACTAGCTGTGAGACCTTTAGCATCCCACGACACAGTTCTTCACCTGTGAATAAAGAAAATTTTCTCCCCAAGCTTGCTGTGAGAAGTAGCTCACTACAATTGCTTTCCACTTGTGTTTAGCGCTTAGAAGATACCACATGTGAGAAAGCAGATATTTGTGGAGGGGCAGTCAACTGCATATCTTGAGCGGCAACAGTAGCAGTTTGATACAGTTCAGCACGATAGTCACAATGTCTAGCTTCAAAACCATAATCCATCATCCATCCATCCATCCATCCATCCATCCATCCATCCATCCATCCCCCCTCCCTCTCTCCTTTCTCACCTCATCAGTTGGAAACAGGGAACTCTGTTTATCTACACTGCCTTATCTGTCAGTTTAGCTCCCTGCTGTTTTCAGGGTTGGAGAAGGAATGAATGTCCAGAGCCTGGAAAGGCATACAGCCCTGCAGCATGGCCAGCAGAACTCGACTGCTTAAAGACATAGTCTACCTTTATATGTACCAAACTGGTTTAGCTGGGTCAGGAAAGCAGAAGATTCACCCAAGTTATAGTTTAAGCTTCTATGTTTCTTTGTGAACAAAAGTGCCAGGAAACACGTGAATGTGATTTGTGAGTCATTTTCAGGACAGATATGCAAAATAGGCTCTAATTATGAACAAGTGATGGCCATAGAAAGCTGATTGGGTGGAGTCATTACAAATTTATCAGAAAGGAGAGGTTATATTCCTTCACTTATCATCTCATGCCTACTCCTGTGTTTTATGATGCAGAATGTTACATGCTACAATCGATCCTAGTCTTCTATCATCACCACAAGGTACACAACTCATCTTCTTTCCAAGGCAAGAAATTCACCTCAGAAACATCTCTTCCCCTCACGCAACTCTTCAACCCTACCCAGCATTTTAGGAAATAATTATTTTAACAGATTAACTTGGAAAAGTGCTACACACAATAAAACTCACCAAAAATCACTGTTTATACAGCTCCATCAAGGAAATTGTGTTCATACAATTGAATTTTTGTATTTTAATAATTTTCATTCCTTTTAAGCAAACATCATGGATACTAGCTAGTACTCGTCTTGCTGAAATTCACTTTTCTTTATGTGTTTTATACATTTATGACATCTCCAGATAAATTTTAAAAAAGAAACTTAGCATATGTTTTAGAGAGAAAGAACTGTGTCATTAATCTTTGTGTGCTATATAGATAGCACTTAGCATTGGCTCCAGCATGGGAGAGAAATTAAGCAAATGTTTGTTGAGTTAAATCATAAGCAGTTAACAGAAAGTATTATTTTTCACATAAAAATACACTAAACTCAAGTGGTGGCCTCTGATACTAGAAGATCAAATGGAAAGTCTCAATAGCCACAGGAAATTAATGCAAGAATCTCAGATTAATTTTCCATTAAACTGAAGGTGAATTATACTTGCTTCTTGAAAAGAAGATAAGGTAAGATTTAATACTCAGTGCTAGGTGAAACACACTTATCTTCAAACACAAGTGCCTATCTCCTCAAGGTATGAAACACATTTGGTAAAATCAGTAGTACTGAACAGTCGTAGGCAACCACAGGGATACTTGTATAAATACAGGGCTGGGGTTGGGGTAAGTGTCCCAAAGGCATATGTGTTAAATAAAGGCTTACTCTATAATTTGGTGTTACTGCTAAGTAGAGGAATTTGTGAGAAATGGAGCCTAGTGGGAGGAAGTTGGGTCACTGAGGACATAATCTTGACCACTTCCTGTCTCTCCCTCTCTCTCTGCGTCCTGACTACTGTGAATCAAGTAGCGTTCTCTTCCTTGTGTTCCCGTCCTGATGTTCTGTCTTGCTATAGCCCCAAAAGGGAGCTATGTGACTGTAACCATGGACTGAAACTGTGAACCAAAATAATCTATTTTTTTTAGGCTGCCACAGGGTGAGACAGGTATATAAAACTCAACAGTGGATGATTTAATAGGGCTAAATGATGATAGGTCTAACAGGCTTGTCTAACCAGCAGTCCATGCGCTGTATGCAGCTGCATGTGGCTGACAATAGCCACAAATGCTCAAAATTACAAGCTTCCTTAGAAATACTCAACTGTGTATTTCTTGAGCATGAACTTTCTAGATGGCAAGGTCATGTCAGAATGTCAAAAGGCTGTGCACCCCTGAATAAGAGACACGGAAGGAACAAGTGTGGGCTCTAACTGAAAACGCCATGCATGAAAGACTATTCTGCATTTGCAATGGAAAGCCAAAGGTCACCAACCAAGCTTTGCTCTGGAAATGTGTCACCAACAATCACAGTCTGTTGTTGCAGAGTTGGTTTCATGAGAATGTAATCAGAGCTCTGGGAAGCCAGGAAAGACAACAGCCAAGAATAGCCAATAATCTACTTTTAGAACATGGTTATGGCCCACCATTCTCCATGTTTTCATTAAAGATGAGGCTACATAGTCAAGGCAGGTAAAGTTACAGAGAAAGAAAAGCATCATTACTTTAAATGGTAAGTGTTTTGTTTGTTTTTTTACATAGCACTTTGGACTTCCAAGTGAGCTTAATCAGGTAGACTTGCCAAAATAAGTTTGTATTTGAAGACTGACTCTTCCATTGAATTTTTAGGGTCATGTATCATAAGATACATTTTAGAGCCCGCCATAATCCTTCCAGAATCCAGTCTTCCTGGACTCGGGACCTCTTCAAATTTGTCGCTTCATTATGGCTGCAGCATCTGGAAGCATGCTCAACCTGGCATCCCAGAGGAGCAAGACCACTACCAAATTTTATATTGCACTTCACTCTTTAGAAAGGGCTGTTCAACATCATTTCATTTCTAATATGACTTATGACTATTCCTGACAGAGACACAAAGAAAGCTTCAAGAGCTCTCCTGATTTGCCCTGGCAAAAGCACTCAGATTTCAACTAAATAAGCAACTAGATACTGCTCAAGACACAAATTAGTGACAGCAGTCCGCTATGGGTACTGGCAGCAAGGTAATCACAAAAACAGGTTGTGTTAAACTGGGTTCTGTGTGTAGCTAGCTTGGCAGATTAAGTTAAAAGAAACCCAAAGATGCTGAACTAGGACTAAAATAGGTCTGAATCTTCTCCCTCCCAAGGTTCTTGAAAAAGCAACAATGACGACATACTGTAAGTTTGGTTAATGAATTCCAAGTTTTCTTCAGTGAGCTCGGTGCTCTCCTCCTGTATCACATGCCATCTGGCTGTAGAGAATATGCAGAGCTCACTCGAATCATTCCTAACCTTCAGAACAGGGTGTCTTCTTTACAATCAGAAAAATGCTAGCCAGACCAGAAGGGGCTAAGGACCTGATTCGAAATCAAGTGATACCACCCTGCTGCAGTCTACTGTTGCCATCTCCTGTGTTAATGAAGCAGCTCTTCACAGTCTTCAATAAAAACAAAGGTTCCAATGAATCAGTGGTGGGTGTTCTGCACAGGGGGGCGAAAGGCTTGATCCCTTACCTCTAAGTGTGTCCGCCTCTCAGCAACCACTCTCTCGTCTTTGTTTCCAAACAGCTTCTTTGGGGGAAATTCAAGAGCAGAAAGCTGAAATATAGATTTAAAGAGCTATGTTAAGGTCATACCTATGATCTTTCATCTATTATTAATTAAACATTTTTTTTTTTTTTAGTGTCCCTATTATGGAGCAAAGAGAGAAGCTTAAAGTTTAATGGTGGTAGGTTCTGCCTCCAGTTGCCCATCGACATTGAAGATGTCGGGGAACCATGGATCACATTCCTCAGTGTCAAATGAGAAAACAAGAAAGTGTGAATTTGAACAACAGACTTTAAAGATTGGATTCCATGCTATATAGTATATTCTATAAAACGAACAAACAAACAAACAAACCCTATGATGAGACTAGTGCTGCCTGTGCATTAGGCAACAACTCCAACACGAGATCTTGCCCACCAACTGAGTTTGTTTCTGTTACTTTTGTGTTTTGAAATAGGATCTCACTGTGCAGCCTAAGCTGGCTTAGAATTATGTACATAGCTCAGACTGGTCTTAAACGCAGATGCTCCTCCTGACTTACATTCCTGTGTGTAGGAATTACTGTCAGGAGCCATCACATGGTTTTTTATTTTTAACGTATCTTGATGCATGCTCTTGCTATTTTACCTAAGCACTGAACTTTACTGTAGCTCAGGTAATTATTACTTTTCTATGGAAATAAGAATTTGAAAATTCCACCTACAAACTCCATGGTCATTTTGTAAAATATTTCTTAGACAATTACTAAGGTCCTCTAAACAGTCCACATTGCCTTCTTTTAGGTTAGTGTGGGTGAAGATTACCTGGGGGAAAAGGGGGCTTTGCATTAAATGCATCACCCCATTTCCTGAAAAATGAAGGTTTGGAATTAGTTTTCTGTCTTAAAAGCCCACAGTCATCTTCCTTGATGCTCTTCCTCTTGAAGGCATACGGATCATAATAAAAAGGTAAGTTTTATTACATGCCCAGGCTAGAAAGGACCACATAATCTGGTGAGACCCTGACTACCCAGGCTTGCATTGGCAGAATGGATGATAAGCTTCAATAATTGATGCTGTGGGTAGAAATCATTGTTTCCTTATTTCTCACCTTTGGTGGACAAATTGAAGTCTATGAAGCATTATTAAGAAAAATAAATAAATATTTCTTCAACAAAGTAGGACACAATAGGCTACAAAATTCCAATTTATACCTATGCAAATCACTAAGGTGATTTGAATTTATATTGCCACAGCTGAAGGTTAAAAAAAATTAGAATTGGCTTCTGTATATTTAAGACTTTAAAAACACTATAAAATATGCTCGAAATACCAAAAAGTGTAATGTGTGAGAGAAAAACTTGACTCATGTTCAAACTCCAGGCACCCTGCAGCCAGCAGCTGAGTCAAGACATAAAAATGGCTGCCCCAGGAAATGCTCCCTTTCCAGTTCCTTCTTCCCACTCTAGGAAGGCTGCCAGTAGCCCAATTAACTTCTAATAGCAAACTTTGGTTCTGCTTTTTATTTTGTATGGGTAATACTAACATTGAGTCTACCACTGAGTTGTATCCTCAATCCTGTTTTTACCTTTAAAATTTTGTGACATAAACTCATTAAGTTTTGGAGGCTAGTCTTGAACTTGTAATCCTCCTGCTTTATCCTTCTGAAGAGCTGGAACTATAGGTCTGCAACATTATGAACTTAATGTGAATGGCACCATACAGGTTGTATTTCAGTTTTTGAATATACATTTGCTGAGCACCATGCTTGGGGGATCCATCCATAGTTGCTTGTAGTGATAGTTTGCAAATCCCCACGGTTGTACAGTATTTTGTTATATGAATTTTCTATAACTTGTTTCCTTAATTCTTTCCCCTCTTGCAGTTACTGAACTCTTAGTTTCCAGTCTGGAGATTTTGGGAACTATGCTGCTGTGAATACTTTTCCTTAGGTCTATTCTTGAACAAATTCATGTACTTTTTTGTTGGTCATACTGTTAGTAGAAATGCTGGGTCAGATGGTATGCTATGTGTTCAGTGATATTAAAAAAACTATTGGACATACTTAACACACTTATGCAGTTTCAGTAACTGACCCTCTTACTAAAGCTCAGGTGTGTCATGTCTCAGCCAATACTTGGATCTGTGGGCATTTCCATATCAGCAGTTTTGGTGGGTAAGTAGTCATTTCTGTTGTGCATCGTGTTTGCATTTCTCTGATATCTAATAATGTTGAATATCATTTCATTGACCTTCTTGGTTATTTTAAGAAGTGGCCATTCAACTATTTTAACTCTTAAAATTTTTGAAATTAAAATATAATTATAATTTCCCCTTTCAACTGGCATTGGTGGAGCACACCTTTATTCCCAGCACTCGGGAGGCAGAGGCAGGCGGATCTCTATGAGTTCGAGACCAGCCTGGTCTACAAGAGCTAGTTCCAGGACAGCCTCCAAAGCCACAGAGAAACCCTGTCTTGAAAAACAAAACAAAACAAAAAACAAAATAATTTCCCCCTTTCCTTTCTTCCCCCTATCCTTTGCTATGTACCACCCTGATGTGGGATAATGCTTGTTCCCTATAAAGATTTGTCACTCTTATTGTTTTACTAAAATACTGATTGGCCAGTAGCCAGGCAGGAAGAGAGGCAGGGATACCAGACTAGGAAAATTCTGGAAAGAGAAAAGGCAGGGACAAAGTCGTCAGCCAGACGGTGAGGAAGCAAGATAAGAATGCCATACTGAGAAAAGGAACCAAGCCATGTGGCAAACATAGATAAGAATTACAGGTTAATTTAAGTTGTAAGATCTCCTTAGTAATAAGTCTGAGCAATATGACAGTTTATAATTAATATAAGCCCCTGTGAGTTTATTTGGGACTGACCAGCTGCAGGACAGGATGGGATGGAAACTTCTGTCTACACCACTCCTTTGCACTAAGATTCATGGCCACTATTTCTTTAATTGTTGTTTCAAACTTACCTATGTATGTATACTTGCATGCATATGCATGTGTATATGTGCATCTAAACATAGCTCCTGTACATAAGGCTTGGGAACCATATCAGAAAAGTGATTTGGAAGATTTTAAGACCCAGAGGAATACGAAATATGCTATGAGATTACATCTTCTAGATGTCAGAGATGCTTTTCCCACAAAGTCTCATCAACATGGCTGCCTAAGCAAGGCCTGAACAAGGGCACCACCAAGATACCTGCTAACATGCAGGGGGAAGCTCATGAGATCTCAACCCTAAACAAATAACTACAGGCAACTAAAGAATGCCAGGAGTAGGAGAAATAGTCTTTCCCAAAGGAGAGTCCCCAGATTGGTTATCTAATACCAAGTGATCAATCCTGAAATCATACACACATTTTGCCCCTTTGGAATGAAGACACTGTATTTCCTTTAGAAATTCTTCTTTCACTTTAATAAAGGTGCCACTAATGACTTTATTGTCCCTTTTCAGAGTTACCTGTCAAGAGAGTGGAGAGTTCCACATAGCAGCTCTGTGTGCCAGGGCTGAGAACACTTGGGGTAGGAGGCACTAGAGGAGCCATCTCCTGTTCTGCCTTTCCCCCAAATGCTCCAATTTTGTTTCTGTCATTCAACTTTGAAACTGCTCAAGGCAGAGTAAAATACTAGAGGCACCAAGATGCAAGAGATTCAGTTTGAATCTGGTTTGCCTTTTAACTAGCTAACTAGCTGTACCTCTCTTGACCCAAATATCATCTGCTGGAAAACACTACAATGACAGGTTTATATGAAGACTTAGCAAAGAATGTTGAATGGAATGTAGCTACATGAATTATTACTTGTTTGAGGTATGGTAATTCACTACATAAGCAAACATTATACCTGCATGCCTTCAGGCCCTTTATCTGCTAGACTTGTGTCTTCATGGAGCAAAGCTCATTATTTATTTATTTATTTATTTGTTTGTTTGTTTGCTTGTAAGCTGGTTTGTTGACACAAACATGTCTCTCTCATGTAGCAGCTGGGAAGAAACTGGCCATCAGAGTCCATCTTCTGAGACCCATCCAAGCTATTTATTTATTTGTTTGTTTATTTATTTATTTATTTGTGAGATGGCTTTGTTGACACAAACATGTCTCCCCATGTTGCAGCTGGGAAGAAACAGACCATCAGAGTCTGTCTTCTGAGACCCATCCAAGCTCAACTTTATCTTACACAAATGTGTTCCTCTGACAGTGATGCTGAGAGCTTGGCATTCATGCTTTAACAATTGGTTGTTTTGTCATTTTCTTACGAGATGATGTGGTTTCTGTTAGGGAAAACTATTTATAGTCACCTAACATCCTCAGTCAGAACTGACACACTGAGAGGGCAGCAGGCAGCTGGACCAAGCCAACAGTAACACTCCATGTTCTTCACTGGGCCACCATCCTCAGATGGATGGATTGCTGCAGCCATGTCTGTGAAGGGTTGGCGTGACTGTTCATTGACATAGAAAGGCCCAGCTCACTGTGGGCAGTGCCACCTCTAGGCAGGCACACTTGGGCTGTATAAGAAAGCAACTGAGCATAAGCCAGGGATTGAGCAGGTAAATGGCAATCTTCCTTGGTTTCTGCTTCAGTTCCTGTCTTTACTTCTTTCAATGCTGAACAGCGACTCAGAGGTGTAATCCAAAATAAACCTTTCTCTCCCCTAAGCTGCTCTTGGTCAGAGCAACAGAGAAGCAAACTAGGACAAGGAGGAAGGAAGGCACAGGGAGTTTACATTAGGAACTCCAGTTGCTGATTCTATATTCTAGTATCAGGGTAAGACACCACCAAACCAACACTAAAAGTCAAGAAGCACAGACGCAAAATGTAGTTAAAGAGAAATGGGGTAATTAAAGTTAGAAAAGCTGACTTGAAACAAGTCAAGCTAAGGCCAGGCATTCATAAGTAAGAGTAAGTCTCCATGTATTTATTTGGGAGCTGGGTGGCAGGTCCCCAAAGTGTACAAAAAACAAAACAAAACAAAACAACAAAAAAATAACAAAAACAAAAACCAAACAAAACTATAGGCACTGGTGATCCTTCCAGTCTCCATTCATGACCCAGAAAC